AAGTATCAATATAAAGTAGGGATGTAACAATAACTGAAATATCGTGCTACCTTGTCATCAAAGTAGAACAATAGTATCGTGGGGTGTCACAATATATCAAATGACAAGTTTCTTTGTTTAAATGCATTGTGTTACAGCTGCAATAGCTAATAAACATCAGGAACTACATATCCCATGATTCATTTCAGCGCAGAAAACATGTAAGTAATATGTTTTTTCTTGAATTCTTGGGATTATGACAGTAATAATTCACACCAAAATCGTGTCAGGGTATTTTAAAAGCAAGAAAAAGCATCCAATATCGCAATAAATATTGTACCGAGAGATTTGGATAACGTTACATCCCTAATATAAAGTCTAGTATTCTTACATGAGCTTGAATACAGTTTTATCTAGTTTATTCACCTTTTTTTTTTTTTTTTTTTTTTTTTTTTTTTTTGCAAGCCTACTGCCTCGTCTTCTCTATCACAGACAAAAGCTGTGATCCAGGCTCTTACACTTACCTGCATCTAGTTAACACGTTTTTGATCTGCCTTTCTTATGAATCTTGACACCATCAGAAACAGAAATCAGCTCTACAGGTTTCTTTTGTAACACTTCCTCTCACCTCAGATCTGAACAGAGCAGTGGCATAACACACAGACTGCATTCTGATGGCTCTAACATTAGCATTCGGGGCTGTTAGCGTCACATAATAGGCCCTGTGTCTGTGTGAATCAAAGTGGGATCTGCAAAGACTGTGGTTAAAATGTCAGGAGTGAAGGGATAAAAAGGTGGACCGGGCACTCAAAAGTAAAAAAGCTGCACTGATGAAACTATTAAACAAATGGTCATTATATAGACACAACATGTCGAATGGGACCTCCTACTTTATAGTGAGTATTAGTTACATATAAATCAGATTTCTTCATTTAAAGGTGCATCGTGTAACTTTTCTGATGGAGGAACTGCAACCTGCTTTTCTCCATGGAGATGTTATTGTAAAAATCGTAATAGCAACCCAACCACAGAGAGGAAGTGCAGCCATTTGGGGTCTACTTGCTTTCCTTTAGCCTCCTCTGTACTTGTGGATGTAATAATAATCAGAGTCCAGTGCTTCCTGCAGCTCTGCCCCACTCTTCATCTGAGAGCAAAGTTCTGGAGTGATCACACTTCACACAGCTCCTGGAGACTCCCGCACAAACACATCAACAAACACACAAACAAACAATCCAACAAACAAACAAACCAACAAACACACAAACAAACAAACCAACCAATAAACAAATATGAGCACAACAGAAGTACACAGCACAGCAGGCCCTGCGTGATTACTGCTCCACACACTCCAGGCACTGCAGGCACAATATCACATTGCATATTCAAGGAGTCAAGTATGCATACTCTGGGACTTCTATAAAAATACATTTGTTTTTAGCATCATAATCTTGACTCTGAGATGGCAAGTCTTTCATTTGTTTTGATAAACTGCAACTGGGCTTAATAATAATTCCTTACACTTGTAATGCACTTTACAGATTTGTCTAAGCCTCTCCAAACACCACACTGTACTCATTATTCATTCACTCCACACTCTATACTGGTGAGCTACTTCTGTAGCCACACGTGCCCTGTGGCAGACTGGCAGAAGTGAGGATGCCAATCTGTGCCTTCAGCCTCTAAAATCAACGCACACACACACACACACTCACACACACACTACTTCCAGACTAGGCAAGGTGGGTGAAGTGTCTTGCCACAAGGACAGAACTGGTAAGTGGGAATCAATCCTACAGGATCAGGTTAGTATCAATAGCCTTAAAATACAGTGGTTACGTTCACACACCTCTAGCAATAATCATGATGTAGAACTATGAAATAGTATCACAAAAGTATGTTTTAGAGTGCTCTCTAAGGATCCACAAGGCACAGAAAGCTGCAATCCAAAGATTTTTTGAGTATTTTGAGCCTTATGCTAACTAATGCATGTTTTGTAGTTGAGTTAGGCACTGAAATGGTCCAATGTATGCGTATGGACTTTAACATCAAAATAATGGGAGCACATTTGTAAGCTCAATGCAGTTTTAAAGTTTGGTTCAAATGTACTTTGTACTTTGCCTGTGTGAAAAGTGGTAAATAAAAACACATGTGTAGTTTGGGTTATAAGTGTGTATGTGACCAAAATAAACCCCCCACCATGTACTACGTCTCTATGGTGCCAACACCAAGTGTAAAGCAGCACAGAGGCCAGACCACGGCAGGTAGAAGGTTGTGAATGGGCCCTCCAGACAGTTATTCAGTCAGCTAACATCACATCACTCTCGTCGTGTGAGGTGAGAGGAGCGGCTGGGGCTGTTCTGTTTTCAAATGTGCTCAGCGTGAAACAAAAGCATGCCTTATTTTCTGCTCCTGGAGACATGAGACTCAATCATTCACACAAAGCAGCTTCACTAACAGGCTTTAAGAGGAGCCTTCCAGGGCACCACCAGTGTGTCTGTTTGTGTACTTCCACAGGCCATGTGTGTTTCTATTAGGAATGGGTTCGATATTGGTGATATCAGAAGGTTTCCACAAATATCGGTATCAGTCTGATATTTGGCACCAATGTTGTGTCTGCATGTGGCCAGTTTGTAGTCAGTACTTCAAACAGGCTTGTGAGTGAGGAAAAGGAAATAGAAGAGGAATTAGGGCAAAAAATATGGTCATATGCAATCAATTATTTAATATTCTAAATAAAATAAAATAAAAACTGTTTGCTAAAATTTTACATTTTATTATGAATTTTATAACCTCAAAGGTCCACTTTAGGTCATGTTAGAATGCTGTGACCTCATCAAAAACATAATATGGAGTTGTGTTTTGTTTCTTTCACACATGTTTGGGAAATCTTTATTATTAGTCTGTCTTCAAAACTCAAAATGCTCTGCTCTACCTTGTGAGGTCATGTAGAGCTAGTTTTCAAACTAGCAGCTACCTTTTACCTTTTCTTCAGTAGAGATAGGCAGTTCCAGGGCTGAAATCATCCAAATGGTTCTAGTGAAGGCACAGAGTTTAAAAACACAGTGGAGCACTTGAGCACTGTTCATGATATCACAAAGTGGAACAGAGAGTTTTCTGTTTGAGAGAAAAACTCAGTCTAAATATGCAGGTTTGTGTTTTAAACATGTGTGAATGAAACAAAACACAACTCCAGGTCTGTTTTTAATGAGTAAACAACATTATAACATAAATGAGAAAATAGTGTAATACAAGGCCTTTAATTTAGTTAAATATATTACTGAATATCGAGGAAAAAAAATTCATATTGGTTTCGATCAGGGTTTGAAGCTGTTTGATGAGGGGGAGTGGGGAGTGGTAAGGACGACTTCCTGTAGCAGAATCCAGGTCAGGACCAAATGAAGTCCCAATGGTCGGAGGATTAAATAAAGGGGTTATTAGCGAGGTCTTGTGTCAGCAAAATATGCAAGGTGCAAGTGGGGCAACGACTGTGTTTAAATGAGGGGATAAATCTGGTTTTAAAGGGCTCGTATTACACTATTTTCTGGTCTGTTACAATGTTGTTTCCTCATCATAAACAGACCTGGAGCTGTGTTTTGTGCATATTTAAGCTGTGTTCTTCTGTGGAAAATGGAAAAATGGAAATGAAAAACACTCAGACACTTAGTCATTGTTAGGCTGTTTATATCTCCAAAGCTCAAAATTCTTTGTTCTACCTTGTGATGTCATGTAGTAATACAGGAAGTGCTGTGTTTTTAAACTCCATACACCTTCACTAGAATCATTTGGATAATTTCAGCCATGGAAGTGCGTATTGCTGTTATCATTATCATATATTTCATGACATCACAAGGTAGAACAGAGCATTTTGACTAATAGCGAGACTAATAATAAAGGGTTACTCAAACACGTGTGAATAAAACAAAACACAACACCAGTATGTTTTTGAGGAGGTAACAGCATTATAACATGACTTAGACTACTGAAATGAATCACTGTATCACCCTATCATTGTATCGGAAATAATCTGCGTCCAGACATGTTGTTTCTCTGTCTGCAAGCCTTCCATATCCACACAACTTTGAGCGTATTTGTTTACGTTTTAAAGTTAAACAAAACTTAAAACCACATGGCTAATTTGCATAAATGAAGCGCTCAAAAAACTGTTTGCTATTGTGCGCTGATGTGGTTCAGCTTCTGTCGGAATAAAGGACGACTCAGTGGAATATGTTCTTTCTGTGACAGAGAGGTGTTCTGCTGATGATGAGTCTGTTCTGTGCGTGTATCACGTTGGAGATGGTTCATGTTAAACTTTTCAGAGATTATACATCTGCAGGTCATACACATGGACCGTATATATGAATGGACATATATTCTAGCCTCTTAGCATTTGGCGGTGCATTACTTTGCAGTGCATAGACCTACGTCAGCGTATCAGCGTTTTCAGGCGTTTTCAGTGCCAGATCAGGTCTGTATTCAGATGAATCCGTAGGAGCTGGCGGCACCAGATCGTTCCGTCTCTGGAGTAGTTTTCAATCGGATTAGTGTGGACGAACACTGCATCAGCATTGAAAACGACTTGAATACATATTAGTGTGGACGAGGCCTTAAAACGTTGTGTAACTTCTCAAATGCTTTTCTCCATGGAGCTGTTATTGCTTTGTCTGGAAGTTGATGGACCTCCAACCAAAAAGTTTCACAGCGCACTTTTAAAGCTCACAAGAATCCATTTTGTGCAATATGGGCCCTTTAAAAGTTCTCTTCCTTCCCTTTCAAACATAGAAGATAAGGAGAGGTGCCTAATCTTGTGAATGGGAGTGGACAGTGACACCGCACCAGGATGTAGCACTCTAGCTGCCAGCTGCTAAAATAACAAGTCAATGTCATCTTTTAGTGCCGCACATAACCCTTTATGAGAAACTGTCTTATCAGAAGCGCTCTTATCAGATTCTATTACCTTTATGGGCTACAAGGGTCCGGTCCAGTGCATTTGGACGGTGTTTATGGTGGTACAGGGGTCTTACCTTGTTCCCCAGGGCTTTCTTGGGTGGGAAGTTAAAGGTGTCCACTTGGGGGAACTGTGCTCGCAGGAGGTTGTGCAGCTCTCGGAACTCTGTGTAGCGCCTGTACACGTTCCACTCGTTGTCATGGATACGGATGTAAACCTGCAGGGGCACACGAGATGCACGGTTAGCGAAGCACATTTAGAAGAGACAAGAGAAAGGCTTCAGTTTCAAATATTACAGCACACAATTCATGACAATATTGTGGTTACTAGTGGACAAAGATTATGTTATTTGTTGTGTCCTGTCTTGTACTTTAATGTTTGTTCTGTCTTGTCTACGCATGGGATAGAGAGAAACGGAATTCTGATTGTTTTGTATGTCTAGTACATGTGCAGAAATTGAAAATAAAGCTAACTTTGAACTTTGAAAGACTCACACAGAAATGTACATGTAGTAGTGTTAAAGAAGACATGTTGTGCTTATTGATACAATCTATAACACCCGTGGACCATTATGTTATAATATGTACGTTTTCCATGCAATATTCATCTAAAACAAATGGATAAAAGAAACAAGTCTGCTGAATTCAGCGTTAGAAAACTGCGGCGCCCAGTGGGAGCTTTTGTTACTGTAAATGCCATCAAAATAAAGAGCCGTGTAGCTGTCGGCCCCTCCCGTGGATAGTGGTGGATTAAATTTTTTTTTTTTTTTGTATCGTTTGTAATATGACTACACAACACTGCTGAATCCTAAGTGTATCACCGAATATAACAATAAAATTGGAGAACAAAGTAAGTAGAGAGCAGTGGGCATTTGTTGGTGGCGAAAACAGGGGTTGATTGGCAAAATGGAGTCTTGCAAATAAGCAATTAAATATTGTTCAACCATGCACAAATCACTCTAAATACAACTTCCAGAGGGTAAATGAGAAAGGAAACAGCTATACCATAGTTTAAAGCTTTGAAAAGTCCATTTTGAATAGGTCTGCTTTAAAAGTGCACTACCGTATTTTTTGGACTATAAGCTGCTCCGGAGTATAAGTCGCACCAGCCAAAAAATGCGCAATGAAGAAGAAAAAAACATATATAAGTCACACCGGACTATAAGTTGCAGTTTTTGGGGGAAATTTATTTGATAGAATCAGACACCAGGAACAGACATTTCATGTTGAAAGGCAAGTTACAGTAATAACAATAGAACAGAAAACAACAGACTGTTAAGGTCACATATGAACAGTTCTTCTTCAGATAACTGTAGCATAAACAACAGAACAGAACCAGTTTACCAGACTGTCCATCTCACTCCAAATCACTAAATCACTTCTGAGCAACTTCAGGCCCTCCGGAGGTAAACCATAGATCCATGAGGTCCACTTTCTGCCAGTCCCTCAACAGTTTCTCGCTCACTCCAGACTTTCTTTCTGCTGCTCGATTACCATTTTCGGCTGCATATTTCAGGACAGGACATTCCACCAGAAAAGTTACATAGTGCACCTTTAAATTATAACAGAGAAAAACAGACAGACGAACAAAAAATACTTGAAACAGGTTATTCATATAGTAAAATGTGTCTTCAAATATGTTCCTAAAAGTAAAGTAGACGGAGTGCATGATTCTAGTGAAGGTGTATGGAGTTTAAAAACCCAGTGCAGCACTTCCTGTTATCACAAAACCACATGACTTCACAAAGTGCAACAGGGTTTTCCGTTTTTGAGAAGAGCTCAGCCTAAATGCACAGGGTTTGAGTGTTACAACGTGTGAACGAAACAAAACACAACTCCAGGTATGTTTGTGACGAGGAAACAACTTTATAACACAGATCGGAAAACGGCGCAATACGGGCCCTTTAACACACAACTCTATAACCCCCCCAAACCTATTTCCCTCAGAAGTATCCAACGAAACCAACCACCAGCGCTCTGTATTGTAATAATCAGTGTGTCCATCCATTTTCACTTACAGAGAGGGGGAGAGGAGAGAAAGCGCCTGTGTCTGGAGATGTGTCTTTGGTGCCACTGTTTCCACGGGCCATTAGCCTCTTTATTCAGCCTCGTGAAAGATACGCGGAGAGAGAGATGAGCCTATTACCCACAAGAGGAAGATCCAGCCGCCCCGGATCTCTTACAAAGACGGATGCTCTTTCAAATGTGAGATTTTGAATGGTGTCAACAGCATAGGCGTCCCAGCCACATGGTTTGGTTAAAGAATTGATAATAGTGGACAGTATACTAGTATGGCATGACTGCACTTTAAAGCTGCTGTGAGCAACATTTTAAGTAAGGATGCACCAATCTGACACAGAAAAATTGGCTGGATTGGATATCGGCTTCCAAATATCACTTGTTGGACATTTAAATTGAAGTAATAAGACTATTTACTGGTTGTAGTCGGCTCAGAAATGTATCCACTTATTTATACAATGTTCTGTAGTTACTAGATAACATATTTGGATCAGTTTTGCTTTATTTTATTTTTATTTAAAGGAAATAAATGCTGTTTTCAGTCTCTGCACTTGTATCAGTTCACATTGGGCAGAGGTGGGGACTTACAAGTTGTGACTTGGACTCAAGTCAGACTTGAGTCGCTATTTTTAGGACTTGAGACTTGGGACTTGACTCGGACTTGAGCTCTCTGACTTGATGCTTCTCCTAAAAAATACATGCTTTTAGAAAATACTTTTCTCTTTACAGTTAATAAATGCAGCGCTGAATTTTACAGGAACAAACTGGAACATGTCCCTCCCACTTCTCTCTTTGTTACTTTGGATGGAACTGCAGTACTGTGAGATGGTATCTTCAAATGTACTACAGTAATATACAGTACAATATAGTAAAACAGGGGGAACTACATAGAACATGATCCTTCCATTTCAGTGCAGACTTCATGACAAAATACGTTATTTTAAATCTGAATTCTTTCTATTCTGACCATAATGATTCACACTAAGATCTTGTCAATACATTTAAAAAGGAAAAAAAAATATTTCTCCAACATGTATATAAATATACTATGGCTTTTGAAGTATAGTTGAGTTTAAAAGTCATATAAACTGCAAAAATCTAAGATATATTTGGTATTTGGTAAGACTTGAAATGACTTGAAGCTCAAAAGCAGACGACTTGGACTTGACTTGGACTTATGGGCCTGTGACTCGAAGACTCGAATTGGACTTTCTTGTCTTTGAACTTGGGACTTGACTTGGACTTGAGGTCAAAGACTCGAGACTTACGTGAGACTTACAAAACAATGACTTGGTCCCACCTCTGACATCAGGTATCGGCTGATAAAACTACAGCATTGGAATTTGTATCGGAATTGAAAAAGCTGGATTGGTGCATCCCTAATATTTGGTGGATGGTTCACTACCTGCTTGTCTTGAAATGTTATTGGTTTGCCTGGAATGTTCCACACTATGGCATTAAGTTTGCCTTCATTCCATCGCAGGTGTTTTTATTGTTCAAAAGAGTCTTGAAAAACACTATGAGCAGGCTCGTCTCTTCTCAGACCTGACCTGTAACTTAGCTTGTTTCCATGGAGATAGATACGTTTCATGCCATACAGCGGAACATCCCCTACAAACCAATAACGTCTCCACGGTAACAACAAGGTGGCAATCCCTGCACTAGAATGAACAAAGACTTGATGCATAATGAAGCCATAGTTTAAGAATGATTCAGGCTTAGTAACTGCTTAATTAACACCCTAAGGCCTTAATTATGTAGTTATTAAGTAATTACGAGCTTTTCCCATGTATCTAAGGAAACCTTGTCTTGCCTCAGTACAGATATGCAGTTTAAGCAGCTCTTGAGGTCAAAATAAATCTGCTGTATAGTCTTTGCATCTAATTATAAAGCTTTTCATTGTCGGACAATCAGGAAGTGTGTATTAACAAGCTAGTTGTTGCTTTAGCTTCACTGTGGCGACAAAAATCCACACTGGTCTCTGAAATTTAAGAAAATTGCTTATAAACTCATCAGGGAGAATAATTAGGATGGTCAAAAGGCATGAGGTAAGCGAGGAATAACTTTGGACGACTGCAAACAGCTTAAACCAACTTCTGTTTTTCACATTTTAAAGCAGTAAAAATCTGCTTTAAGTCTTGTTCATACTTAATCAACAGTAATTAAGATGTAGTTATTAATTATTAAGTGGTCCCAAATGCAGAAATATTAGAAAATTCTTTGAGAGTCCATGAAAGCCTGTCTCTGTTAGAGGGTGAGACAGAGTTGCTAGAACACAAAAGGTGCATGTTCCCACTGAGCAGACTGGAGCTGTGCTGGACTGAGCTGCACCACTGGAGCCTGAACTACCAAAGGGCACCTCCAGAACACAGCGCACGGCTCACCTGCTCCCATACCTCACACATCCACGGGCTACTGTACTGATTACACTCTGTCTTACAATGACAGTTTTTTGCATGGAGATCCATTACCTGCTTATTTCTATGGATTTTTATATAGAGCTTTTCAACAAGGAACCACTCGCCCATTCACACACACACTCAAAACAAAAGTGTACACAGACACTGGGAGTGAGGTGGGTTAAGTGTCTGTTTGTGATGAGAAAATAACATTATAACATAAATCAGTTATTTCTTTGTGTGTAATGTTTCACAGTATGGTATTAAAGCTTTCTGTCTTCACGGAGACCAAACCAGACCAGTTTACAGGATTCGTGGAGAGGTGATCCTGCTCACTGTCAGAATGTTTGTTTTTTTAGGTATTTTTGAGTAGTAAATTCACCTGTAATTGAATAAATGTAAAGTAGAGCTGTTTAATGTCACACTATGGAACATTCCAGCTAGAGCAATCTATAGAAACAGGTGACAGGCCCCCAACCAAAAAGTTACATAGTGCATCTTTAACTGCAAGAAAGACATACATTATGCGCTAATAATAGGGGTGTGCAAAAATATTGAAATACCGATATATTGTATCGTTTAATGTAATGATACAGTATCGATATCGGGACTGCTGTATCAATATATTGCAAAGAGTATTTTTGGTATATTTTACTTAGGGGTGTAACAGTACATGAATTCGTGCCGAATAGTTTCAGTACGGGACGTGTGGTTCGATGCAGGGCTGTGCACGAGTAAATTCGCACAATTTGTGTGTGTTTACATTTCATCACTACATGGAAGCTACACGGAAGTCTCGG